AGTGGTCCTTTAAACAATGGAGCAGATCAAAGCTCTCAGTCATATCACGTTCAGTCATGAATGGTGTTGGATGATTAAACAACTAATTGGAGGAGGAGGCTGTATGAAAATTTCTATCTTCAATGATGGTGTAGGCTGGCACGAGTACAAAAGTGAAAGCCAAAGGATTTCCAACCATCTTCGATCAGAAATGCTGAGTGGAGCATCAATTTCAGCCTCAAGAAGTATCTACCACCATAGTCTTCGGCCAATTCAATTCGGTCCATCATAGAATCATAGAATTTTACAGTACAGAAGGAGGCCATTAAAGCCCTTGGGGTCAATACTGGCTCCCAAAAGAGCCAGTCCTATTCTCCAGCCCTATCTCCGCAACGCTGTAAATTCATTACTAAATGAAGAAGTTCAACAGTGTAAATATAGAAAAAAAATTGTTAGGGAAAGAGGAAAAAATAGAATGCCATATAGGAGTGATCTTTCTCATTTAAAAGGGCAGTGAAAATCTAGAACTCATTTCTCCTTAGGGTTCTGGATAATGGGAGAATTGAAATTTTCAAGAATAGTTCCATTTATTTATGCTGGGCAAGACTAGGGATATGGACCAAATGTCTTAAACTAATTGGCTGAATAATGGCCTGTTCCAAATGCACCTTGCAGTTAAATAATCAACAGCCACTCCCTCGCTACTGAGGGTGCTAACTCAGGAATTAAATCTGAGTGAAAGTTAACACCTTCAGGAAGTGGGGAACAAAATAATGAATACACTGAAATACTCTGAGTAAGACTGTCTGGATTTGAACTTAATAACTGGCCACCAGTTTGGAAGTTAACATTTTGCTCAATGGGGAGAGCAGGCGTAACTATAGAAATCCCTAATGGATTACACATGCCCACCTGTCCCTGTTAAAAGTGACAGCAACAGGGAACAATTATACACACTTGCAACTCAGTGTGGAATCTTTCTCACAGAAACAGAAACATTAACAATTGCTGAAGTCGTATAATTGTTTTGTGTTGCATGGTGTATCAAACACATATTTATTCAGATAGATTGGTTCAAACATTGTTGCATTCATTCTGTAATGAATGATGTCCCTATTGAAAACTTTTCTATGAGTTAACAAAACATTTGTCAGACCCTCTTTGAATAAGCCTGCTAAATTCTTCTAGTTCCTAACTACTATTGCTTAGTAGTTAGTGTACCAAATATGGCAAAGGCCATGAAGGCAGCAGCACCTCACTGGCATTGCTGAAAACCTGTGCTTGAACTAGCTGTACTGCTAGCCAAACCACTCCGGTACAGCAACACCGGGATAACATCTAATCTTGTGCTGCTAAGTGGCAAGCAAGCGATAATTGTCTCCAGGCAAAGATTCTAGCTATCTCGCCTTAATATTCAACAGTATTATCATCACTGAAACTACACCATTAATATCCTTGGAATCATCATTAACGAGAACCTTAACTGGGTCAGCCACATATATTGTGAAGTGACAAGAGTAGGTCAGAGACTGAGGTAATAGTCTCCATTTGTCTGATGAGTACATTTCCAAAAACACTCAGGAAGTTGAACAGAATCCAAGGCAAAACAACCAGTTTTGACTGGCACCCTGTCCTCCATCTTAAAAATTGTACCATTTGCAAGATGCATTGCAGAAGACTGCTAAAGCAGCTCTTAAACCCGTGAACTCCACCATCCAGTAGGATAAGGGTAGCAGATCCATTAGAAAACCACCATCCCAAGTTCCCCTCCAACTCATGTATCACCTTGAGTTGAAAATATGTTACTATTCCTTCATCAACATTGGATTAATATTCTGGAACTCCATCCCTAACTGCATACTGGGAGAACATTTATCACACTGGCTTCAGTAATACAAGAACATTTCACCACTCCCTTCTCAAAGACAATTTGAAGCGGACAATAAGACCATTGAATGGGTCATTTGGCCCATCAAGACTAGTCTGCCATTCAATGAGACCATGGTTGATCTAATAATCCTTAATTCCACTTTCTTGCCTTATCCCCATAACCATCAATTCCCTTAATGATTAGAAATCTGCCTATTTCAGCTTTGAATATTATTTAACAATCAAGCCTCTATAGCCCACTGGGGTAAAGAATTGCACAGATTCACCACTGTCTAAGAGAAATAAATCATTCTCATCTCTGTTTTAAATGGGTGACTCCTTAATCTGAGATTATGCCTTCTAATACTAGATTCTCCCAAGGAGAAACAAGTTCTCTACATCTGCCCTGACAAAAGAATCTTATGTTTCAATAACGTCACTTCTCATTCTTCTACACTCCAAAGACTTCAAGCCCAACCTACTTAAACTCTCCTCATAGGAAAGTACTTCCATGCTCAGGATCAAACTAGTGAGCCTTCTTTGGACTATGTCTAATCCCATAATATCTTTCCTTACATTAGGGGACCAAAACTGTTTACAGTATTCCAGCTATGGTCTGACTGGTGCCTTGCATAGTTTTAGTAAGACCTCCTTTTTTTTAATACTTTGTTCTCTTTGAAACAAAAGCCAACATTACATTTATCTTCACTATTACCTGCTGAATTTAGATTCTAGCTTTTTGTGAGTCACGCACTAGGACCCCTAAATCCCACAGTGCTGCAGCTTACTCAATTTAAATAATATTCAGATCTCTATTGTTCCTGCCAAAATGGATAACCTTCCATTATCCCACATTATATTCCATCCGCCAATTTTTTGCCCGATCACTTATCCTTTCTATGTCCTTCTGTAGACTCCTTCCATCATCCTCACTACTTGCCTTTCCATCTATTTTTGTCATCTGCAAACTTGGCAGTACATCCACTTTCACCATTCAGATCATTAATATATACTTTAATAATTGTGGCTCCAGGACTGATCCCTGTGGCACTCCACTAGTTGCAGGTTGCCATCCTGAAAAAGCTTTCTTTATCTCAACTCTCCATTTTCTATTAGTTAGCCAGCCCTGTATCAATGCTAATATACTGCTCCTAACACCATAGGCTGTATTTATTAAGTATCCTTATGTGTTGGTCCTTATTGAATGCCTTTGGGTAATCCAAATATATTACGTCTGTTGGTTCCCCTTTATCTGCCCTGCTTGCTACCTCCTCAAAGAACTGTTATAAATTTGTCAGACATGATTTCCTTTTCATGATGTCTTATTGGCTCTGCTTGATTCTAAATGCTGTGTGATTACATTCTTTATAATAGACTTCTAACATTTTTCCAAAAGGCACATATTAAGCTACCTCATCTATAGTTACCTGTGTTTTTTCTCCCTTTCTTTTTGCGTGAGTATATTACATTGGCAGTTTTCCAATTCTCTGGGACTTTTCCAGAATCTAATAATTCTTGGAAGATCACTAGCAGTGCATCCTCTACTTCTGCAGCTACTTTGTCTAAAATCCTAGGGTGTAACCTATCATGCCCAGGGATCTCATCGGCCTTTAGCCCTAGTTCATTTTGTCTAGTGATAGTTATTATGTTTATATCATCCCCCCATAGCCCTTGATCATCTTTGGAATGCAAATGGTGTCCTGTACTGTGAGGACTGAGACTGGTCTTGCCACAGATGCCAACATGCCATGAAGAAGTTATATAGAAATTCCAAACTAATTTAAGCCTGCTCTTAGTCGATAATTTTGATATACTGTTTGCAGTAATAAGTTTATACTTGTCACATTTTAAACCATATATTTGAGATTTTTCATATTTTGTTTTGTATTGTCGTTCTTGGTGTATTAACCTAGTGTTGTTGCCTTTTGTTCCATGTTTTTGCTCTTCTTGACGTCATTTATTTTCTGTCTACAAACTTAATTGCCAATAATACATTAATAATGTTAATTCTGTGAAATCGTGAGTGTACATTATGAATAACAGAAACAGATAACTGATTTTCTCTGTGTTTAGAATGAAAATAATTCTGATCCTGATACCAGTGAAGCAGTGCAACCCAGAACAATTCATTATATGGATGATAGCGATTCCATAATCCCCAGTAGTTTATGTGGCATGTCCAACGAAGACTACTACAAGAAGGTCACAGAACTAAAAAATGCACATGCCCACACTATAGCAATACTAGCAAAACTGTGTGAGAACAAACTATGTGTCAGAAGCATGGCAGCTACTTCGGAGGATCCCTGTGAATCATCAATGCATTACAGGTAGATAATGGTGTTTACAATAAGGATAACTCACACAAAACACATCATGGACTTCTAGATCTCAGGGCAACTACGACATAGATGGCAATCAAAATGTTACTTCAATATGAATTTTAACGGAATAGTTTAGGTCAGAGGCCCGCACAGGCAGATTTTCTTCTGAATTTTACCTTCAAACTTAAGTATATATAGTTCATCTTTCCAGTTTACTTTGACTGCACCCCCACTAGTCCCAGTGTCTGCTATTTATTCACTTTTCCAGCACCCTTTCAACCTTCTACCCCATCTATTATTACACCCCTGTTGAATTTCTATCCCACTAGTGTGTGCTATGCTCTTCTTTTCCTAAATAGGACTACCTCTGATCATTATTAAATCTCTGATCTTTTACAGTTATTCTATTATTCTCTCGATGATATTTCTTTTTACAACTGGAAGAACTGTCCAAGAACTCTCATTAGCTGCTTTTTAAACTTGTACCTCTCTCTCCTCAAACCCATAATCTGTACAGACAGCAAGAGCATAATTGACCTGCTCAATTAGTACGATGTCTCCATCTTCAACATTCTTGAGACATTCCTTTACAAGAATAGATTATACAAGTTGTTTCTAAGAACATTTCATAATATTCTAAATAAAAGCAAACTTACTTTTGTAAATTTTTATAGTTTAGGTAAGAAAAACAATGGCTACCTATCTCACTCAACAACTCAGGTGGGCAGTACTGCACACTCAAGCATGTCAGAAATGTCAAAAGAAGATCTGGAAAAAGGTGGGGAAAATCGCATGTCCTACGGAAGGGATCGAATTCAGGGAATGTGGGATGGATTTTCTGTGCAGGACTATATTTCAGATGAGGAACCCCAGAAGCCCAAAAGCTCAAATTTACCATTTACAAAAATGCAGATAATAAAGAAGGAGCAAAAGCAGTGGTCACCAAAGATCACAATACCACAACCTTTCCAAATGACTCTTAGAGAGGCTGAGAAAAAGAAACTGAAGATAAAATCTAGGTCTGAAATTGAAGCAGAGAATCAGATGCTAAGAAAACAATTAGAGGAAGAAGCAGAATGTCAGAAAAAGTTCCGTGCTAATCCTGTACCAGCCCATACCTATATTCCTTTGCTGGCAGAAATAATAGAACGGAATGAAGAAAGAAGGAGGTTTGTAAAGATGAGAAGCCAAGAAATTTTACAGGCTATGCAAAAACCATTTGTCTTTCTTGAAAGAGAGGAGAAAAAGAAAAAAATCAGAAAAATGCAAACAGAGGAACTGAATATTTCAGTAAGTAAACCAAAGAAATTTAAAGCAAAACCAGTTCCTAGATACCTTTATGATCAAACAATTAGTGACAGAATTAAAGAGCAAGAACTCTACCGAGTAATTAAAATGAAAGTGAGAGCTCAAGAGACATTACGTGGTGCGTCTCTTCCAAAAAGTATGCTTCATAATACCTTATTGGAAAAGAAGAAAGCAACATGTTGGAACCCAGATGAAGAACTGAAATTCAAACCCAAGATTAACACTAAAGTACCAAATTTTGAGAATTTGCACAGAAAGTCTCGTAGACAGCTTATGAGAAAGAAGAATTTGAAATTGACAACCGTGTGTGAACCCTTCCAGTTGCTCACTCTTCAACTTCCCTCAAAAAAAGAAAAGGTGTTGAATGATATAATGGCAGATGAAAATCATTTAAAAGAGACCCGCTGGCCTTATTTGTCATGCAGAAACCAGTGGAAATCACATGACAGCACAAATTCAAATCAGTCAGGATCTTTGGACTTGAAAATTACAAAGGTCACTGAGTCTGAAAAGAAGAGGAAACAAGCTGTTAGGTAAGAACAATTTTCATCTTTCATGATTCATTAATAAAGTGAAAGTGATCTATGCTGTAGTATTTTAATGAAAGACGTCAATCTTTGAGGAACCTTCTTGCCCAATAGTTAAAGTGGGATCAGGTGTGGTGCAGGGGGAGGTCGGCTTAAAAATGCAGCAAATGGAATTGCATCTGGGATTTGAGTAAACAGGACAAACAATTGTATAACACTCCAACTGTACAGCCTTAGAGCACAGGCACAATATAGACAGACTAATCAGGTGGACTTAACAGTGGCAATTGAATTTAATCCTTAAAAGTGTGACATGATGCATTTTGGGAGGAAGGCATTTGCCTTTATTAGTCAAGGTATTAAATATGAGAGCGAGGAGGTTATATTGGAGCTGTATATAACATTGGTTAAGCCACAGCTGAAGTAATGTGCCACACTATAGGAAGAATGTGATAGCACTAAGAGAGGGTGCAGACAAGATTCACCAGGATGTTGCTTGGGCTGCTGAGACACTAGATAGGCTGGAGTTGTTTACCTTAGAGCAGAGAAGGCTGAGGGGCGATCTGATTGAAGTGTACAAAGTTCTGAGAGGCATACAAAGGGTAGACAGGGAGAAACCTTTTCCCTTAGCAGAAGGGTCATTAACAAGGGATGCAGTTTTAAGGTAAAGAGAAGGAGGTTTGGGGGGCTTTGAGGAAAGAAATTTTCACCCAAAGAGTGGTGGGTATCTGGAACTCTTTGCTTGAAAGCGTAGTAGAGGCATGATATCTCAAAATGTTTAAGAACTATATAGGTGAGCAAATGAAACTCCATAACGTACAAGGCTATCAGCCAAGTGCTGGAAAATGAAACTAGAACAGATGGATGTTTGCTGACAGGCGTAGATAGGTCAAAGGACCTCTTTTCCTGTTATAAAATTTCTGACTCTGTGGAAGGGCTGTAAAATTAGCAGTAGAAAGACTGAAAATTGAATTAAGATTTCAATGTGAAAGCATGTGCAGAAAGAAAATATAAGGACGTAAGTATTAAGATGGAGTGAGAGAAAAAGGACAGAAATATCTTTTTAAAATATTATATTTTACGTTTTTTAAATTGTCAGCAATAATTAAACCCAAAGGAACATTTTTAAAGCTGACTTTTGATGATAGTTAGGTTGTTTTATGATTGATATGATTAATGCTTATGTCATTATTAAACAGGCATTTAGATAAAAACAAAGTAGGCTTAACTTTTATTGTAAACACAGAGAATTCTGAAAATATTTAGAGGGTGTAAATAATAATAAACTCAACTGAGGCATGGAAAACTACACCATAAGATCATAAAATGTAGGAACAGAAGTAGGGCAATCAGTCAATTGAATTTGCTCCTCCATTCAGTGAGATCAAGGATGATCTGATAATCAACTGTACTTTGCCTTTTCTCCACAACTCTTCATTCCCTTACTGATCAAAATTGTCTCTAATATACTTATTGACCCCCTGCACAGCCTTCTGCAGTGAAGTATTTCACAGATTCAATACCCTCATAGAAGAAATTCCTCCTCATTCCTGTCTTAAATGGGTACCCTTTTATTCTGAGGTTATGCGTTCTAGTCCTAGTCTCTCCCACAAGGGAAACAACCTTTCTGCATCTATTCTGTCCAGGTCCCCTAGGAATCTTCTATGTTCAATAAGTTCACCTCTCATGCATCTAAACTCTGATAAGTATGAGACCAACCTACTCAACAGCTCCTCCATACTGAGGATCAGGCTAGTGAATCTTCTGTTTGATAATATGAATATAAAATCAAATATTTGCAACACCACAAGATAACGAGTTGAGTGATGTGGATTTATACCTGTTGTGGAGTACACCTGAATTTATCAAATGCTGGCAATAGACACATTTTCCAATGTATCAGACTTAATCAAAATTTTAATTCTTAACGATTTTTAATTTATTAAACCTTTATTTTGGCATCTGTATTAATTTTTTTATTTTATCATTTTATAGGAAATTGCTGGAAGAGAAAAAGAAGAAAGAAGAAAAGGAGGAAAACTGGAAACGAGAGCAGAAACTGAGGGAGAGAAAATTGAAAAAAGTCATATCTACCCGTGCCCGGGCCAGTGATCCACACAAGAGCCTGGCTGAAGTCTCGAGATCAAAACTAAAACAATATAGGTGTGTTTTTTTTCATCAATAGCATGTATGATATCCTCATCTTTGGATTAGTTTTAGTATGTCCACAGTGTATTCTGAATTATCTTGATGTGCTTTTTCTTTGTTTTCATTAGTAGCTGTTGCCTTTAATACAACTTTATCTATTAAGTCAGGGCAACAAGGCAGTGCCAAGCTGCAAAGTAAGTTTCACAGTTTCTGCTGGAACTTCTGAAATCCAAGTTTTCAGTTACTTTTCAATGTTGCACTAAATCTACTTTTGATTGGATAATGTACAAAAAGTAAATCCAAGATGGCCAATTTACTGCCCATTCAAGTGACTCTTGATCATCATCAGCAAAGTGATGAAAGCATTGAAAGTGCTATCAAGTGGCAGCTCCATAGCAATAACCTGCTGACCAATGTTCAGTTTGGGTTCTTACTGGGTCACTTAGCTTCTAATCTTATTACTACTGTGGACAAACATGAATAAAATTGCTAAGCTCAAGAAGTAATGTCAGAGTGAATGACCTTGACATCAAGGGAGCGTTAGATTGAGTGTGGCATCAAGGAGCCCAAGTAAAACTGAAGTCAATGGGAATTGAGAAAACTGTCCACTGTTTACTGTCCTAGCACAAAGGAAGATTGGTTTTGGTCTTTACTGCTCAGCCATCTAAGTTCAAGGACAGCATTGCAGGGGTTCTTCAGGGTAGTGTCTTAGGTCCACCCTTCTTCAGATGCTTCGTCAATGAACTTCCTTCTCATCATAAGTCTGACATTGTGCAATCATCAGCAATGTTCATTATCATTCATGATTCAAACATCAAAGCAGTCTACGTCCATACGCACCAAAATCTGGACAACATTTAGGTTTGAACTGCTAAGTGGCATTCAACATTTGCACCACAAAATTGCCAGGCAATGGCCATCTCCAAGAAGTGGGAATCTAATTATCTACCATCTATTGACATTGAATGGTGCTGCCATCATTGAATACCTCAGTAGCAACATCCAAATGGTGGTCACCATTGACCAGAAACTGAACTGAATAAGCTGTGGCTGCAAGAGCAGGTCAGAGATTGGAAATGCTGTGGCAAGTACCTCATATCCCCACTGTGTGGTTCACCAGCTAAAAGGCATAAGTCAGGAGTGGAATGGAGTAGTCTCACTTTGCCTGGATGAGTGTGCTGCAAAAACACTCAAAAATCTCAAGCCATCTGAGATGAAGCAGCCTACTTGACTGGCACTCCATCCACTACATTAATCATTCACTTCTTATGCCACTGATGCATAGTGACATCAGTACATACCATGTACAAGAGGCGCTGCAGCCAGAGGTCCTTCATTAGCACCTTCCAAATCTGTGATTCATACCATCAAGCAGGACCATGGCAGCAGCTGAATGAGAACACCAACCCTTTCAGGTTTCTGTCTGAGCCAAGCACCATACCAAATTGGAACTGTATAAGTCATTCCTTCACTGTCATTAAGTCAAAATCCAGGAACTCCCTTTCGCACAGCATAATAGGTATATACGTGTACCTACACCAGATGGACTACAGTGTTTCCAGACTGCCCCTCATCATCACTTTCTCAAGGACACCTAGGGTTGAGCAACAAAAAATGGTCTTACCAATGACATTCACATCCCACGGAAGAATAATGTAAGAATAGGAGCAGAAGCAGCCCATTTTGCTCCTCAAGCTTACTCTGCAGTTCAATAAGGTCATAATGGTTTGTTTGTCCAAAGCTGCACAATCCTCCATGAGAGAAAACAATCTACCATCTGTTGTCAAAAAAAATTTGTGTGGAAGCTGGAGCACCATGACGGAAGCAGCATTCTGCAGCAGGGGAGACAGTTGAGAAGTATGGTGTTCAGACTATATTTCCCATGACGTTTCAACAGGGTTTTGGACTAGGCTAACGTTTCTTTAAATTTTGACTAGTATTGATGAGTTGAGGCCCATGGGTAAGCATTCTCTCCCAGGTGATTCTCAGGTAGTTTGCAGAGATGTCATGAGTCACCACAGAAGAAATGTTGAGCAATTATCCAGCAGTTTAATTGTTCAAGTGAAACTCAACTCTGTCCTCTGGATTGGGACGGAGGCACCAGATGTGGAAGTAGCATTCCTAGGTCTAAGATCCTGTGTAGCATCCGACTTGCTTCCCCAACATTGATGCCTGTGTCAGCCATGTTACATCATTGGCATAGCTAACATGCAGGATTTAGTGCAGAAATATCCACTACAGCTGTTGAAAAGGCCAGCCCATGGCAAACAGTTTTTGAGAATCTGTGTTCAGCTGGAGTTGTCACCAAAAAAATCACAGAACTTACAGTGATTCATTAGGATGTTGATAAGCCCAAAGGTTTTCGGCAATGAATAATTGTTGAAGTCTTTTTGTGCTAAGTAGTGCTATATGCTGATGACAAGTCTTTGAAGGCAACTCCAGCCTTCAGCTGCTTCTGGACTGCCTCAATATTGGTAGTTAGCACAAAGATTTCATCAGTGTTTTCCTTCATCAAAATCTACCTGCTTGTTTGCAAAGGCAACTTCTCAAACAGATTTTAATAGTTTAAGGATAAACCTTGTAAACCGTAAGCTGAATAATAAGATGATAATTTTTTGAATCATAGACTGGCTTTCCTATCTTTAAGATAGCAATCACATTGGAATGCTGCCAAACATATGGGATTATCTGTGTTAAGAGTTTTGGAGGTGAGTCTGCAAGCCACATCTGTCAATTTGGATCTGGATTGTGATGATTTCTGGATGAATATCTCTGATCCTGGTGGTCTTTCCAAACTAAGTAGTGGTCAGCATTGCCCACAGTGTTGAAAGCAACTTAAAAATTGATGTGTGATGTAACTACTTGCAGAGAGAGCTAATGCATCCAATGAACAAACTGGAGAATACTGCTATCCTGACACCATTATGTCTTGGCTAGTTACAAAAGAGCAAGAGATTGCTGGTAGTGTTTCATGTCATTCAGATTCATATACAGCAACAGCATTGATTGATATTTCAAAATTATTTCAAAGAACATGGGCTTCACTGGCTAGGCCAGCATTTGTGGCCCATCCCTAATTACCTTTGAGAAGGTGATAGTAAGCTGCCTTCTTGAATCAATGCAGTTGATATGATGTAATTACACCCACTCCTAATCTTATGAGGGCAGGCAAGACTAAAACATGGCAGCTGTCCTCTAGATGTCTCCTGCCACAACAGAGTTCTGACGAGAGCCAGTGCTTCGTGATGTCTGGTATCAGGTTTTCAAATAACTTATCCAGCCCAGTACAGTTAGTTTTGAATGATTACTGCTTTGATGCTGGGTATATTAGCTTGGGAGGAGACACTAGTGTCAGACTGCCTTTCTTAATACTGGTCTTAGTGGATAGACACCATAGGTGGTACTTCTGCAGTATTTGAGGTGCCTGCTGTAAGTTGTTCAAGTCTCCCAAGCAGACAGAAGTGCAGGCATCACTGTTGTTAGTGACCAACAACTTAGCCTCGGGTTTGAGATCCAGATGCTCAAGTACTCTTTTCCTCAGTTGACTGAAGGCTGAGCCAGCACATTGATGCTAATAATGGATTTCAAACTCTATTTCTGCCTTCATTGAGAAGAGGCTCACAAGATGTGAAGAATAGTCCACATTTTCCAGATGTTGCTGTTGCTCAAGTCAAGGGTTGCGGGGGCGGGGTGGAGTTTCTTTGTGGGATCTGGTTGGAACAGGATGTTCATTTTCTGAGTCTTTAGTGAAAGACCCACTCAGTACCAGCCATACCCCTGGTGTCCATACATAAATCCCTTTTATTTTGGACCGTTTCCTCCTTTTGCCACCTTATTAAATGCCTAGAGAGGACTTTTGAATTCCCTAATATGCGAGCTGCCAGAAACTTCTTGTACTCTCTTTTTGTTTCTCTTATTTGCTTTTTCAATTCCTTTCTGAATTCTCTATATTCTCTGGTATCTGTCATTAGCACACTTTTTCTCAGGACATACCTGGGAAATTTTCCACATTGTCGGGTAAATGTCAGTGTTGCAGCTGTACCAGAACAAGTTGGCTTTGGCTGTGATTAGTTCTGGAGCACCTCTTAAGTACAATTACCTGAATGTTGTCAGGGCCTATAGAGATCAGTAGTCCTTATCTTATATCACGATGACATCACATACAGTGGTTGAACTACAAGAGAGAGTTTGAGGAAGTGGGAAAGAGTTGTCAACTGGAGGTCATTACCAACAGAGCATTTTTGGGCAGCAGATCTGTGAAGGAGCAGGTTGATGAAGTATTCTGATGTACTGGAAACCCCTTTGAATCCTAGTAATTTGAACCATGACAGTAGTAAGCTGAGCTTATACCACCAAGCTTTTAATGCAGCATTCAGATATTGTGAGTTTGCTGCTTGGGCTGCAGTGGAAGCTGACACATCAAATGTTGGATGTTGCATCAAGATTGGCTCCATTGGTGTATTGATAAAGGGTTTTTATTGGCTATAAACTTTGTGCGCGGTTAGATTTGCCAGTGCATCAAACATTTAAGTGTGCATACTGATTAATGTCATCTGAAGCCTGGACCATCCAATTTCTCATTTGAGTCCTTTACAGGAGAACTAAGGTGTGACCTCATCCTGTGGAAAGCTAGTGTTTGCACAATCCTTTTTCCTACTAATACTCAACATCACACCATGTGCAAATCCCTCTTCTGTGCTATCTTCTATATCAATGTTGATATCTGAACCATAGGCTTCCAGTGCAAAATTGAGTGATATTGTTCCTTCATTTTCCATTTTTCTTGCTTTTCCTCCACTGCCAATTCTTAACTATATGCAATGGAAAAGGGATAAGACTTGGGTTGCAGAGAGGAAAGAAGAAGAAAGACTTGCATTTATATAGCATCTTTTGTGACTTCACAATATCCCAGGTGCTCTACAGCCAATTAAACACACTTATTTCAAAGTGTAGTCACTGATGAAATGGAGTAACCAATTTTGTGCCCAACAACTTCCTACAACAGGAAAGTGATAATAATCAGATAATCAATTTTAGTCATGTTGAGGGTTAGATCTAGACCAGGGCACAAGAGATAACTGCCTCTTTATTAAAAAAAAGGGGTGGCACAGTGGCTCGGTGGTTAGTACTGCTGCCTCACAGACCCAGGGACCAGGTTGAATTCCACCCTCAGGCGACTGTCTGTGTGGAGTTTGCACATTTCCCTGTGTCTGCATGAGTTTCCTCCCACAGTCCAAAAATGTGCAGGTTAGGTAGTTTCACCATGCTAAATTGCTAGTAATGTCCAAGGGTGTATAAATTAAGTGGATTAGCCATGGGACATGCAGGGGTAGGGGGATGGGTCTGGGTGGGATGCTCTTTGGAGGGGCAGTGCAAACTTGTTGGGCCAATTAGCCTGTTTCCGCACTGTAGGGATTCTATGATTCTATGAACTTACCAGCTCACCTTCATGGGATCTTTTATGCCTGGCTGAGAAGGCAGATAGAATCTCAAATTAATATTTCATTCAGAAGATGATAGCTCTGATCGATACAGTTCTGAGGGAGCGTCAGCCTAGGTTTTTGTGTTCAGATCTATGGGATGAAACTGGAACTGGAACTCAATGTTCTGATTCAGTGATAAGCCAAGGCGGACACAAGCTTATACTATCTGAATTTTCTAAATCAATAGATTGAGGGATAAGGGGAAGTGGGTTGAGCAATGAAGGATATGGTTGCTAGTAGCTTCCAAGACTTCAGTCATGCTTTCCACAATAGCAAACAATGCCTCTTCTATAAAGTTTAATACATTGAGATGTGCCTGTCTTCTTTCTGTTAATTCCTGCTTCCTCCTGTTGTGTGCCACCTTCTCCTTCAAGGAAGAGGTATGTGTATCAGTGAGTTTCACGCAGTATAGTTAGATGATATAGCAATTACGGCTGTATAGGTGCCAGTGTGTTCATTGCTTGACATGTGGATACAAAGCTTGAAACAGCACTAAGTGATCAGATGAAGGATGTGAATGTTAATATGTGACCTGATTATTGGAAATTATATGTAGGTGAGTGATTGGGGTGCAGTAAATTGAACAGGCGACGAGGACGATGATGCGCTTGGTATGTTCTGGCATTTGAAGATTCACTCACTTACAATTTAAGGGAGATAATTACTCTTCTTCCTTTACTGTATCTAGATCTTTACACCAATTATCCTGGCTTCTGCACAATCTCTTACCACTACTTTCTGAGCATGTATCTGAAGGAACTATGACTTTTTTCCTCCTTGAGAGTAGAGGATATCTCTCCTTTTTTCCATCTCTTCGACCAAGACCCTCAGTGACCCCAGCTGATGTGTGCAATAAATAGCATTTGGGATATTTATTGCACTGAGGCAATTGTGCAGAAAGAAATAAGTTGCCATCATGCCTGCATTTAATTATTGCATCATGAAAGCAATTCTTTCACCCATTTTCATGAGTTATTTAATTTAACTGCTATTGTGTCTTAACAGGAATCATCAAAGAAAAAGAACAAAAGAATATCTGCTGGAGCTTGAGGAGATGCAGGATAGGGTAAGCAGGAGGCCTCTGCTCTTAGAAGAGCTCACAATGGTATGTTCTTAAAATGGCTTAAGCTGCATAAATGTTCCTCAGCACAAATGTTAACGTATTCCAAAAGAAGAGTAATTAGTCTTGTTTTTGTGAATCATATTGTTTCTTGGAGTTAATGTCTTTTTGTTTGTTTTATACTACTTTGGGAGGAACTGCTGCACAGAGTGCCAGCCTAGGTTTATTTAGTCAAGTCTCTGGAGAGGAACAGAAACTCAATTTTCTGGTTCAGTGGTGAGACTGCTACCAATTAAGCCAAGGCTTACACTATCCAAAATTTTCTAAATAAATAGATTGATGGATGATGGGAAGGTGGGTTGTTACTTTGCTTACTCGTTTCTAAATTTTAATAATGAATGAGAAATTGATGTTTGTGACTTCTTTATATTTTTTAATTAATTGTATACCACCACTTTAATCAGGATGACACCTACATCCCTTGAACCAATTTTTTTTTAAATGAAAATGAGCAGGGAAAACAGGCATGTGAAAGACACAAACGCTAGACATATAGGGCTAAAAGATGTAAAAATTAACTAAAATAAAAGTATTACTGAGTAAAGGAAAATAAAATGTATATTATATTTAAACTGCACTCCACTTTTCAAAACTTTTTTGTTCTGTGGAAAAGCTACAACTAATTATAATTTTATTTAATCATGGTGCTTCATATAGGAATTTAGGCTTCCTGGCCAATGAGATTGAAGTGCAAAGGATCTCTCAAAATAGGCAGTAAACACATTACCGGCAATTTACGTGGCATCACAGTTCAGAATGTCTTATTGAGATATTATCTAGGCTACGAATAGTCAAATGCCTACTGTAAAGTTGTAAAAGCCAATTTAGTAAAATATTCAGGTGAAAACAGAACTAACCTGTCAAATTTTATTGTACTTAGAGGAATGCCAGAAGAGCAGCAGAAAGACAATATGCTGCAGCACTAAAATTACAGGGATTGAGTGAAGATTTTGTTTCTAGAAAAGGTCACCGTCTCCCAAACTTCATTTCACATTCCAGTGATGAAGAGTCTGAGAAAAGTAAAGACAACAGTGAAGAAAGGTAACTCTTCTCTGTACTAACAATTGAATTTTCTATGTAATGTTTGAGATGTTTTCAACTACCTGAAAAGGCTATTTATTTTGTTATACTTCAACAATTAACAGGCAATTATGAATTGTGGATTTAATTTCCTTAAGTACTACATACTTAAAAATATTAAAACTAATAGTGGAAAAGGTTGTTTTAGTGTATGATATTATATGTTTAATATCGCCAAATACGTGCAACGAAAACGTTGAAAACCTTGAAAATGAAAAACAATGAAAACCTTTAAATCATTCATGGGTAGAAGGAAATGTCATTGGTTGCTCTTAATTTCAAATTTTATCCTGTCTTGATAAGCTTGTATAGCTTCATGTTTACAAACACAAAACAGAAATTGCTGAAAAAGCTCAGCAGGTCTGGCAGCATCTGTGGAGAGAAATCTGAGTTAACCTTTCAGGTTCGGTGACACTCATTCAGAACCGTATGTCACTGGACTCAAAACATTAATTCTGATTTCCGTCTACAGATGCTCTCAGACCTACTGAGATTTTCCAGCAATTTCTGTTTTGTTCTGAATTCCAGCAATTGCAGATCTTGCAACTTTTTATTCAGCTTCCTGTTTAATTCAGTTTTTCTTTTATTCTGTCAGGAAAAGTGAGGATTTAAACAGTGTCTAAGGTTGTTGTGAAACCTACTAACCAATTTCGGTTTCATTAATCTTTGACAGAATTCCAACATACAGAGTATCTTTTATTGCTGAAAACTTAATTTCACAATAATTAATGTTGTATCAATCACACATTGTTTTACACCAGCTGACAATACCATATTATTTAACCAAAATAGACAAGATATATTGCTACCTTTTGCTGGACTAATGTTATGAATTAAATTTAAAAATCTTCAGGATCATACCGAAAGAAATCTATTGCAGTTTATCCTGGTCATTGTTCTGTTGAAGATTTGGTGATAGTAGCACTTTGTAAGTAAAGGTCAGATTTGCCCAACTGTAAACTTTTCAAAGCTACATCAAAGTTTTTACCCGCAATTACTAAGATTAGATTGTTGGAAGCTATTTGTACAAATCTAAAACACTTTTTCTCCAGTTCTCAGGAAGAAACTGATGGATTTGAATCTGATGATGACCAAGATGATCGTGAGCTTATTGAGGAATCAAGAGACATGGAAGAAAAGGAATTTAAAGAAAATGAAGATGAGTAACTACAAAGAAAGCAGCAAACATGAAAAATTTTATATACATGGTAAATGTATAATATTTATTGAATATTAATTATGTTTCCTTTATTACTTCCTGGTGATACTATTTAGATTATTTTTAAAATATGATCCGGAACTAGTAAATTCTAATATTCATGGTAGAACACCTCATGATGAAACTGATTCACTTTCATGACTGAAGCTTCTTAACAAGTGTCTGACAAGTTTGTGGTATGCATTCTTAAACATATAACAGAATACCAATCAATACTGATGTCAACTATTTTTACTGATTGTGAAAATATTTCAAGCATTTCCCATGAGGGAATCTGCTGAATGACTTATGTGCTGTATATTAGCATGGATGCATACTTACATTAATGTTTGAACTGTTTTCTAAAACTTTTGGCCAAATATTCAGCCTGTAAAAATTGTAAATTGCAGTGAAGGAATCCAAATCACGTGCGCAAGCACATTTGTTTTCAGATGCAGGTTCATTTAAAATAACTAGCCTAAATTACAAAATCACCATGATGAACTGCAAAGTTAAAATGTCGACTGCACTTATGAGTTCCAATTTGGAATTAACTAATCAGATTCAAACTGTTCGCATCTGATTCTGATTTAAAAATTAAGATTTCAAAGCCTTGAAGGAAAGCAAGCACTCTTTCTATAGTAACAGAAAATGTGCTGATAATGTTTTTGCTGACCCGCTGTCAACTACTCCAGGTAAATTGGTTCATTATGTATCTAGAACTCTTCGTTTGTATTTTGTAATGCGAATGGATCCTGAAAAATACAAAATAAGTGATTCAGTTTTGCTTAATGGAAAAAAAACAACGTATGTACATAATGTTAAACAAAGGGAGTAAGCTAATTTTGTGAATGGAAAGCACTATGCAAGGAAATATAGAGATCAGTAAAAGATACTAGCCTAGCCAGCATAGTCGTATATTCCATGAATAAATATAAAAACAACTTCTGCCCTTCAGTTTTCTCATTTGGTAGAATCCAACAGCAAAATTATTTATTAAAAAATACATCCACAAACCAGGGATAATACTTGAAATCATCAATAGAAACTTTTTTTTTAAAATAAGGTCTTTCAATATGGCCTAAGTCTACACACGTTCGTGTATTTGATCCATTTAAACCTACTTTTGAGTGGTAGTATGTCCAAATAATCTAAGGCGCTGGATTCAGATTCCAATCTCTTTGGAAGCATGGGTTCCAATCTCACTGCTGCCAAATGTCCTAATAGTTTGTCATTCAGATGCTTTAGTATCTTCTTTGGGGTGTATCATCGCTCCTGGTAATGATATTTTGATCTAATTTTGGAAACTTTCTATTTGTAAGTTTCAGTTGACCTCTTGACATTTTGTTAGTGTCCCACCAAGACCTGTCTAAACCATGATTGTTAATTTAAAAGTTTCACCTTCTAAGATGAACCATCAGGGTTAATTTAGAAAAATTGGAACAGGGTGAGACAACCCACAGACACTTCCAGACTTGTACTCCACCTGGTGTGGAAGTCTTGAACAAAACCTCCAAATGGACCATCCTTGAGTAGAGAGGACCAGCTCTTCTGTCTCAGATATTTATCTTCACTTAAAAATTCTAATATCAATTATTTCCAGTAATTCTTCTAGCCATTCATCAAGTGTCGGGTCTGTCAGTTCAAATAATCGTGGTCTGGCAATTAAATGGCCATACAAACTGACCTATGCTATCAAATGCAACTTACATAAAAACTACTGGTGTTGAAGAAAGCATCTCAAATACCAATGATTTTTATGCAAGGAAGGATCATTTACAATTTCCATACAACACTGAATCAAATAGACCAGAGTATCTTCTATTCTCAATATTTCCAGTTTAATCCATTATATTGAATGTCAAACTATTCAATCGGAGTACTTGTTCTTGTTTACAGTTATATTTTGTGACTGGCGAACTACGATTTACAGTGCTTACTCATTTGGCCCTACACTTAAAGTAGCCTATTGTAAACTGGAAATAATCTTAGTCACTTAAAAACGTTTTAATCACTTGATATTTGCTAAATTGAAAGCTCAGTACAAAAACTTAATGTATTTTCTTACAAATCTATTGTTTTCAATTGAAGAGCAATGATTGACCACTAACTGCAACTATTAAGAAAGCTAATCTTCTAATGCATATTAACTTGTTTGATTTTAAATTGGTAATTCTCTTTATACATTTTCATTCATTGATTTTTGGTGAACTAGAACTGCCTGGATAAAGCTTTGGTAGATTTTTGAAGGCTTGTGTTGATGGTAAAGTCCATCTCAGAGGTGGCATTGATATCACAGCTTAGTGTTTGACGATCATTGTTGTCAGTTGAGCTAGAACAGGCTGTATGATCTCGACAGTCCAAAGATTTAAACCATAAATCTACATTTCGTATTATTAGCAGGATGCACCTGTAATATTCAATATAAATTTTAAAACTGCGAGTTAGCATTAACCAGAATCAAAGGATAAGTTTATTGCAATGTACCAATCAAAAGGCTCCTTAGTAAGCTTATATTAAGTAGCAATAGGTATAGTCTGGGAATGGAAAGTCTAGATGACTTACCAATTTCAATTTTAAGACAATTGAATTATTTAGAATCGTGAAAGACTGAAGCATACTGAAATAATGATTAATAGCAAGAAGAAAATGTTCTGATATGTAAGACAGTTATTAAAGAGTGCTGCTAATTATGGAAGTAAATGAATGATGAGTGAATTGAATGGAAGGCAGATTGAATGAATCAACGTGATTGTGCAGAGCACAAAATTTCTAAATGAGTACAATGAGGCAAGTTTTTAAATTGGATAAATGAGAAATAACTATTTATTCTGTAAATTGCCTCAAGTGAATCAAGACTTGATAGTGCTTTTAACACCAGAAAATATATTAGTGACAAGGTTATGTTGCATTAACACTGAAGTTCCATTGGTATGTATTCAAGAATGTTGTCACATCATTATCACTGTAGGATGAAGAGCTAATTATAATTGAATTTATCTGTCATATAAAGATGATATGTTCATTTTTGAACCAACACACAGGTTACAGAGAGGCGTCTGTGATTTTCTAAAATATTTTGTTCACAACATTGCAATTTATTCTTTAAAAGTAAATTTATGTCTTATTGAGTCTTTTTCACACAGGGAATGAAGAAGATAATAATTAATAGTGCTGAAGTTGCTTTGAAACTAATATAAATCACTACCAATTATCTTTTCAATTATAAAACACCTGAATGATGCTTAGAAATCAAACTGTAGGATTTTCAGGTTCCTGATTATTAAATATTCTGTGTGAAACACTGAACTTATTGAATTAATGCATTTGCTAAACAAGTGACAAGAACACTGGTGCAATCCTCTACCATTACTATATTGACTCAGCATTGTTATGAATGTGCTTCCTGTTCTTCCTGACACACTGTAACCTACAATGCTGAAAAAAGACATTCTATTATTAAGAGCGTGCATCGTTGAGAAGGCTTCAGACCAATCCACATCCAGCAATCTATTCTGAAAACTCTGCTCATATTTAAGACAGCCATTCCAAATTCCAGCACAGCAGATGTTTTTATCAATGAAATTCTAAAACAATCAACAATATTCTGCATAAAACAACTTGTAATATTCTAAAAATAAAAGATTACTATAAACTGTGAACACCAGAAAACTGAGAAGAATTATATAATCACATTTTTTACTGCATGAGTACAAACTGAACACACCTTGGTATTACACCTTATCTCCCACCTCTCCTTCCTGGAAGTAATTGGAAGCTTCATTGCTGAAAACTATGGCAACTATTGCAAAGAAGGATTAGTACTCAAAAGCTTCAGGTTGAACATCTTCTCAGCTTCTTGTTGCCAGAACGATCAGCAACTCCCATTAGTTTAAACAAAGTCGAGTCAATGGGATCCGCATTTTCCCCAAAAATCTGTCAGTTTTCTTTAGGCTGTACCCTGTCTGTGCGCCAGGTTTCTTTGAAATCCATCCATAGAGACTAACAATCAGGGGCAAAAAAAAATTACCTCTGCCTACATTCAGTAGCGAAGATCTTAAAGCATTTCAAACATTTACTCTGGAAGAGCAATCAGGAAAATTTCTTTTAGTTTCAATAATGTCTTTAAGTATTTCAATAATGGATTAAATCTCAGGTACATGATCCATGTAAAATTTTGATAAAGTGTATTGTTTTATTCCATTTGAAATTATTAATATATTCATTGACATTGCAAACACTAATGAAAAGCCACCAAAAATAAGCTTTTTAACCTAACTAAAGCAGTATATTTATAAATTTACTATTGCTGTATATTTTTCCATACTCATTTCAACTTTTTTCGCATTTTTTCTTCAACCTACATCTAATTAACTCACAGTAGACTTGCCTACTAAATCTCACAAATCCAAACAAATAGATGTGAAATGTGGATTTATAGTGCATCTTCTAATATTAGCTGTGATGTTTATGTAGTCTTTTGTTAAAATGTAGTTGGGTTTTGCAGAAAACTAAGGCCAACCCACACCAGATACTCAGATAAACAACCTGTGAATTCGTTTTATTTATTTTTTGCTTTTGAAATAGTATAAATTTACTAACACTGTGCAATAATACAAAGCTTTGCTTTATTCACCAAAAAAACACTACTTTGTACTTGAACAGTTTTAAAGGGAAAGATGTGCAGAACAGACTGCATTGTTTCTCTGTCTTAATGGGACAAAATAATGCTGTTTCAGTCTTATGTCCTGAACAATTGGTACATTTCAATGTATTGTGTATTTTGAAATTCTATGACAATTCCTTTTTATTAAAATCAGAACAAATTTATTTTGTTTGTATTTTGTTTTGATCTATTAAAATATTTACTTTGTGAACACATTTTAAGGAAAGGAGAACAATGTCCTAATAGCCTGTAGTTACAAAATCTCTTGCACAATGATGATAATACATGAAGTCTCCTTGAAAACCATTGATAAGAACTACAGGTGTTTAAATAAGTAGACCAACAGTGTGTATAATACAAAATTTAATTCACTTAAGTACTTAATACACAGAGATGTTGAAGAATTTAAGGTTCTTGTGAAGATTTGTAACTCGGGTTGTGGATGAGGTTGTTGGCTTGCTTACCAAGCTTGCTGGTTATCGTACAGACGTTTCATCACCATGCTAGGCAACATCATCAGTGCAGCCTCCAATGAAGTGATGTTGTTCTACTCTGCCTGGTATTTATATGATACGGTCTGTTAAGTTGGGTTGGGTCATTTCCAGTTCTGTTCTGCATGGGTTTGTATATGGGGTCTAATGACAAACATGTTGTCCACGTATTAGATCCACGTATCGGGATCAAATTTACGAGAGAAGAGGAAGACAACAATCAACTTCTGTTTCTAGACATCAGGGTAGAATGAATGACTAACAGGGAGTTCCAAGCCAAAGGCAACCCACACTGACCAAATCCTCAATTTCCACAGCAATCACCCCAATGTCCACAAACAAATATGTGTTAGGGATACTATTTAAACGGGCCACAATTCACTGCAATATGCCAGAGCTAAGCAGGAAGGAGGAAGAGCACCTATCCAAGGTCTTTGCTAACAACAGATATCCCAACAACTTCATCCACAGGTGCCTACTAGAAAGACAATGCCAAGAGGACACAGTATGTCCTAATGCACTGGTCACACTACCCTATATCAAAAACAATCAGAACCAACAACGAGACTTCTGCGACCACTAGGAATCAAGGTAGCACACAAACCCACAGCCATACTACGACAAACACTCACAAGGACCAAAGACCCCATACCATGACATGCAGGACCAATGTAGTTTCCAAAATACCTTGCAATGACTGCAACAAACATTACATCGGCCAGGCCAGAAGGAAACCAGCCATCAAGGATACACGAACACCAGCTAGCAACAAAACGACACAACAAACTTTCCCTCATCTAAGTGCACTCGGACTCTGAAGGCCATCAATTTAACTGGAACAATGTGACCATCTTAGCTCAAGCCAACCACAGATATGCACGGGAATTCCGAGAGGCCTGGTTTTCAACCCCATGGATAGGTGCTCTTCCTCCTTCCTGCTTAGCTCTGGCATGTTGCGGTGAATTGTGGCCCGTTTAAATAGTATCCCTAACACAACTTTGTTTGTGGACATTGGGGTGATTGCCGTGGAAAACCATTTACAAACCCACGCAGAACAGAGCCAGAAATGACACAACCCAACTTGACAGACTAGATCTTATAAATACCAAGCGGAGAAGAACCACTTCGCTTCATCGGAGGCTGCACTGATGATGTTACCTCGCATGGTGATGAAATATCTGTATGATAACCAGCCAGCTCAACAAACAAATCAACCACCTCATGTTGAAGAATGATATATAGTATCGGCTTATGAAAAAATACTGAATTGTGTTCTTAATGCTCAGTTGATATCCTCTGATTTTATGCCACATTTTCCTAGTGTCCTTTTGATGTAGAGAATGGCTTCTTCAGCAAACCACCTCAAGTGTACATAATCATCATGGCATTAAGAAGTAGATTACGCTTTCATTTCCTAAAATACAACAAGATAGAATTTCTGCTTTGAGCAGGGTCAAAAAGTTGCAATATGCACTTGAAATTGTTGCTGCTGAAATCCATTTGTAAGCACTATCACAACTTTTAAATATTCCATGAACCAGCATCACCAAACAACTTAATAGTATGTCATTATTTTTTATTCAAGTGTATTCTTTGATATATTTGACATATTCAAGCATGTAGCCTAGTTTAACTTTATTAATATTGCTAAAAATGAATTTATCAGCAAAATTAAATAATTTCTAACTTTCCCATTTTGACTTAAGTATTTCTGCGAATGAGGTTTATAGCACCCAACCAATGTGGTTTGCAGTGTCTTTTCTCTCACAATCTTCTACTAATCATCTGATTAATTATGCATCCAAGCTCTACAATGCCATTCTCGTGGAATGACGAAGCAGGAGAGCTGGGAAGTGTTCACTGCTACTAGGACCTTATGGTGTTCATGCAACTGGTACTATACTTAATGCCCAGCTGCACACCTTTTCAGATGCTACAAGCCAGGAACTACCCTTCACCCTATAGTTCTCTGTCAGTATCACAGAGGATATTGGCCAGAAAGGCAAGTAAGCTCAATGTTTTGCCAACAGGGACTTGGATGTGCTGGTAGATGAGATGATGAAGGACTGCCAAAAAATGGTCATGGCACCGAACCTAGCCAGTCTGGACTAGAATAGTGAGCCAAGTCAGTGCTTTGTCCAGGGTAAAATGGAATGCAAAACAGTGCAGAAAGAAGATCAATTATTTTTTACATTCTGTAAGTCTTCTCTCTGCTACCCCATTCTAACAGAACACCAATTCACTTGAATACTACCACTGCACACACCTGTCACCAGTGCTCATGAACTTCACTCTCACTATTGCATGTAACGTCTCTATGCAATGGCTCTCTATAAACTTCATCAAGCCCCATATGATCTTCATGCTTGAGTCATACTGGACTTGAAATATTAACTCTGTTCCTCTCTCCAGAGATGCAGCCAAACCCGCTGAGTTTCTCCAGTATTTTCTGTATTTGTTTCAGATTTTCAGCATCTGTGTACTTTGTTTTTATTTGAACATTTAATTTACAATGTTGGTACACTGCTGTAAAATTGTGTAATTTACAGATAAATGTCTTACAGTTGTTTATACATTTCTTTAATTTTACTGATTTCCTTATTCTTTGGTAGTATCCATTGTCAAATTTGCTATTACAGAATATTAGTTAGAAGAGTAATTTGAAGAATGTGTTGTACCAGCAGTGCCTCCAAAGAAACAGTGGAAATCTGGAAATAGAAAATTATTTTTCTAAGTGTAATTTCCCCTCTGTTCTTTTCATGTATTATGACATTGGCATTGCCATTTTTCAGTAAAAATGTCTTTCT